CAAGCAATCCTCCTGCCTCAGCCTCCAAAAGTGCTGGGATTACAGGTGTGACCCACTGCGCCCAGCCATGACTTTTAATTTTTATTACTCAAAACAATTTTCATTTTCTTTCTTTTTTTTTTGAGACAGAGTCTTACATTGCTGACAGGGTTGCAGTGCAATGGCACGATCTCAGCTCACTGCAACCTCTGCCTACCGGGTTGAAACTAACTCTCCCGCCTCAGCCTCCCGAGTAGCTGAATTACAGGCGCCTGCCACCATGCCCAGCTAATTTTTGACAGGGTTTCACCATGTTGGCCAGGTTGGTCTTGAACTCCTGACCTCAGGTGATCTGCCCACCTCAGCTTCCCAAAGTGCTGGAGTTACAGGCGTAAGCCACAGCATGTAGCCTACCCAGCTAATTTTTGTATTTTTAGTAGAGACAGGGTTTCACCATGTTGGCCAGGATGGTCTCGAACTCCTGACCTCTTGATTCGCCCGCCTCGGCCACCCAAAGTGCTGGGATTATAGGTGTGAACCACCGCACCCAGCCAAAAAAGTTTCATTTTCAATAGAGCTTTCTGACTCTGCTTTTGCCTTCAACACTTTCACAATGATTTTCTGCTCCTCGATAAGGAACGCACACTGGATTCTGTCATGAACACACTTAGCACACATGGAACCAGGGAAGCACTGCAGGCCCTACGGACGTGCCTTTTGTTTTGGACAATCAAATGAGAACTTTAGATCTCACAGCATGAGCTCCTGAAAGTCTGCCTGGGCACACACCACGTGAAGATTCTGGTGCTTTCCCAATCTTCTTGGCATAAAGGTAAATGATTCTATTACCAGGGGTTCAGGACAGCCTAGTTTTGTTAGAGGTTTCTCACTAGAGGCTTATGACGGTATGTCACACGCTGGCCCGTTCTGCGTGCCTCTAGACAGTGGTCATGAAGAGCAAGTATCTTTTTAAGAAACAATTCCCTGATCCTGTTTCTCCTGTCCACATTCCCTTCTCTCTTCCACAAAAAGCCTTGGGGTTCAAACAGGAGGCAGAACTCACCGCTTCAGGACAAGGTTCAGCAGGTAAGCAACAGCGGCCAGGGACTCCGGGGACTCCACTGCTTCCATTGTTGTCATCTGAGGGCCAGATTGAGGGGGTGTGAATAGATAAAAATTTACACTGAGCAAACAGGAAAAACAGTCGGAGAACATGTGCCCAGCAGAACAGTTGTGACCGAGAACCACAGTATCAGAGGTTCAAATCCTGACTCTGGCATTGTGTGGTTTCAGGCTAGTAATTTAACCTGTGACTCAGTTTCTTAATTTGTAAAGTAGGGAGAGTAATGCTACATACCTTGTAAGTTGTTGTGAGGTTTAATTGAATTAATATATATAAAATACTGCCTGACACATAATTAAAACTATATATATGTGGCTGGGCGCAGTGGCTCATGCCTGTAATCCCAGTACTTTGGGAGGCCGAGGCGGGCAGATCACAAGGTCAGGAG